TCATATTCGAATGTCCAGACCACCAAAATTCATGTGTGGAAGATAAGTAAATGTAAACATTTACCACGAGCAACACTTTTTTTAAAAACAAAAAATATTAATGTTAACTGAGGTCACAGTTTTTGGATCTTTTTTCTTTTACACACTTTTGAAAATCAGGTTGAAATTAACATGAAACAAATGTGAAAGCTGCAATAAATGAATACAGCAGGTTGACAGAGAATCTTTATACAATCAAAGCAAAGTAATAATAAAAAGAAGTGAACATCAATATTCGACAATAAAAAAAAAAAAAAAAAAAACGCCATGAGAGACAATCCATCACAAAGCCTGGAAGGGGATACGAGATTTTTCTTTTCTCTCCCTAAATGTTCTTTAACAGGCTTTGAACGGGGCACATTTAAGTGTTATGAAATAATTATGGACCCACCTTGTTTTGCAATATAGTGAGTCGAACAGTTGGTGCAAGCAGCTGGTAGTGGTAAATCCAGCTGTTTAGAGGTTAATCGGCTGTAAATTCGACAGCAGCTCCTTCTCTGTCAGGGACGGTTTTGGGGATCATGGTGTGGGGGATGTGAGTCAGCAGACAAAGGCATCTTGTCCATCTCTTTTAATATTTTACCTTTTATGTTGAACAGTAATTTTGTTATATTCTCATTGTAAGTTTTTTTTTTACTTTGTTGCATTTTGTGAAACATATAGTTATGATAATTGTCATCATTACCTCTACATACATGCCTAAAAACCTCATCTTTCTTTCAAACAAACACTCTCAAAGTACCATTAGAAAACGCAAACTGCTCATTTTAATAGGGCAGAACCAAACCGGTTTGCACGCTTTATCATTTGCATGAGCAAAATTTGTTGATCACCTGCAAAACAAGCAGAAAATCATTTTTTGCACTTATGTGAAACCTTTGAGGACAGGCCCATAATGTCTTGAAATTAAAAGTAGTGGCAGAATCAGGATGTGTCAAATCTTTTCTTCTGGAAGGAAAGGAAATCTGGTTAGAGTTAATGGGAAGATGGTTAGCGAGAAATACAAGGTGATCAAGAAAACATTTCTAAGACTTGATTCTGAGGTGCAGGTCACCCCCCAATTATCACAATTAGACTTAACATAGAGCTGCAGCATTTTAGTTTGAATGGTCCAGTCAAAGTACAAACTTAAATCCTGTTGACAATAAGCTTTAGCCAATATTTTAAATCAGAATGGGAAATACTGATTCCTTTTAAATAAAAAAAACATATATATATATAAAAGACTTGTAAAGTGAATGGAGAACCATTAAGAACTATGTATTTATTTTTTCTTCCACCTCAAAATTGTGCACCACTTTTTGTTGGTGGCTGTAATTAGAATTCATTAAACATCTGAGAGGAATTAGTACTTTACACTGTAAAACATCTAAATCTCTTTATCTTTTTTTCGTTTAACATTTTTCATTAAATAAAGAAACTATAAAAAAAATAGATTTTGTGCAAACAGAGGGTTTATTTAATAATGTTATTATACTAATTTGGTGGAACCTCTTTTCTCTTCTTGTGTTTGGCAGGCCAGTTGGCGGTGGGGACCTGCGAGATAGTGATGCTCAACAGAGACAGCAGTGTTCCTAGACGGACAATCGCCAGGCAGACCGCCCGCTGCGCCTGCCGGAGAGGCCAGATTGCCGGCACCACCAGGGCGAGGCCGGCGTGTGTAGACGGTGAGTAGGACAGATTCTCTGATTTAGACTGTGGGAAATACTCCATGAGTTTAGTTTGTGTTAAGGAACAAACCAGGGGAATGAATGATAAAATGTCTGGTTAGGATAAAAAAGTTTCATTAATTTTTTATTTTTTTTGTGAGCATAGCTTCCTCTCAATGCTTTCCCCAAGGCATTAAATAGCAAATTGGAAAGTAGGAAAAAAAATCACACTATTGGTGAATATAAAATGATAATTTTTGCATTTAAACAACTTGACTCTGAACCAATAATTTAAAGACAAATCATGCAGTAAGTTAGTGCATCTCTTTCTGTAACAGTATTACACAAGGCACTAAAGGTTTTAGAATAAAATCTGCTGAAATGTTCTTATTGAAAATGAACAAACTTTATATTGTTCCTTCAGATGCACCTAAATAGTATCTATGCATCATTCTTGCTGAAAACAAAGTGTGGATAAAGAAGAGGAGAGTTAAGTAGTATAAAGTGCCCAGAGACTGATCTTTATCGCTTTTTTATCTCATAATTAATTTCTGCCTTTTTCTTTGAACAGGGTCCTCATTACTATTATTATTATTTCTATTATCTTCATACACAGCAAATTTAAAGTTTTCATATTTGTAGCCATATTTGTACCCTAAGTAATTTAGTAGCTGCATCAGCTTAACTCCTCTGATTAAATTGTGGTGGAAACATTTTTTATTTTTTTTTGTCGTTTGCAACTAAAGCCTTTTTCACAAAACTCTGGAAGTTGAGAGTTGGACACCTTTACACTCTCTCTGTGCATCAATGGTTGAAGAAAACTCAATATACACTTAATAAGCTGCAGCAAAACAAAACAATTCACCAGGCTTTCAGCCAAGGGTAGTGTCTTTGATGGCAGTGAGACCTGCAAACAGCAAAATTAAGTTTTTTATCCTTTAAAATAAGTTCTTAGCTTTATATTACTTTAAATGATTCTGTATCAATTCCATTTAACTCCTGTATTTTTGATTTCATGAGCCTGAATTGATTATAAATGTCACAGGCAGCTTGAAATGAATGCCTCTGCAGCTTATGATGAAAATTGTCTACTGGCAATTTAACTTTAAAATGAAAAAGGTTTAAGATTATAGGGCTGTGAGTTTTCCCTTTATAGATGTCTATAGTTTTTCTTTCCATCACAATCAAATGTTTCAAATAATCAACTTTCAGAAAATATAAACTGAAGCCTGTGTTAAAATTTGTGTTGCGCCGATGCCATTTTTTGGCCCCTATAATCGATACCTGGCTGTGCAGTATTGGCCGATACGATACCATCTATTTGAAGAACTGCATACTACTTTGATGTAAAATAATTGTCATCATGGCTTTTTCAAGCTGCTGCCTACCTTTGTGAAGCAGGAAAAAGAATAATACAAACTGAATCCAGAAGAACTTTTTATTGCCTACCTGAAATGGGTGACAATAGTTGAATAAACTTTTGGCTCTCAAAATGGTATCAATGCCCTATTTGTTGGTACTCGCTGATACCGATACCACCATTTTTGTGCAGTATTGGGGACCTGCCTGATTCTGGTATCACTATAGGTTCAACACTAAGTAAAATGGGTTCCTGTAACGATCTCAGAATTCGAGGCGAGACAGGCAGTGGGAAAGTTCAAAGCGTTTATTAACAAACAGGTGCGCGGGGCTGCTCGTCTGCTGCGGGAGGGATCTCTGCAGAAATGGGAGAATACAGGTCAGCGACTGGATATGGAGCTTAACACGACTTGGAGCAAAGTCACTGACCTGATTCAAAGTTCAGTCCGTTCGCGGAGCTTTGACCGCAGTTGCGGCGGGCGACACCCCCAGAGATCCTAGAGAGCGCGCAGCAGACGCCGAGCAGCAAC